CATATGTGACATTTATTTCTACTGAACAGTGGTAGTCTAAATAGTTCTCTAATGTGTGTGTGTGGTGTGGGGGGGGGCAGGGGGGAAGGAGTGTTGTGCTTCTGTTAAATTGTAAGCAGTTTGAGAGCAAGAACCATGTCATGTACTTCTTGATATGGCCTGCAGCACTCAGCAGGATCTGCAGCAGTTAGTAAATTTCTGTGAATTCCTGAGGACCTTCTTGCTCACTCTGGCGTTTCATGGTGCCATACATGGGGCAGTGGCTGTGCCTGGGGCCCCTAAGGAAGGCAGGATGGAGTAAGGGAGAGTCTTGTGGAATAGCCAGGCCATGACGGACCTGCATTAGCTCCTTTGGTCAAGCTGAGTTTTCCTTTTAAAACAGCTTTCCAGGTACTTGGTGTCCACAGACTCTGAAGCTGTCTGGCAGTTCTGCTAATCATTCACCACCTTTGGCTTCTTTCTCTGCTTTTGTGGGCAATCTCTGGTTAGGGATGGGCAATTACAATCTTCAAAGTCCTGGGATCAGGATGTTTATGCTTTAATCAACAACATGTGACCTTGATGCCTAGCCAAGGTGGGGGCGTGAGCATCCCAGATGGGACCTTAAGTGGGCCTCCTTGCCCTGCATACGTGCCACTTTCAACCTAGCATTTCTGTTGAGCCCTCCTCTAACCATTGGCACCCCACTCATAGCTGCCAGGAGCAGTTGGGGAAATGAATGTGGGAGACGTAGGAAAATTTGCTGCCCCCACCTCACTTGGATCACGGCCCTGAAGTATTAGAAACAACATTATTGTTGTTGCGTACTGTCAGGTTGAGTCCAACTCATAGCAACCCCATGTGACAGTGTAGAACTGCCCCATAGGGTTTTCTTGGCTGAAATCTTTACGGGAGCAGGCAGTCACGTCTTTCTCCCACAGAGCCGCTGGATGAGTTTGAACAGCCAACCTTTCAGTTAGAAGCCGAGCACTTAACCATTGCACCACCAGGGTTCCTGAACACAACGTTAAGAGTGACCAAATGCAGCCCCTCTTTGAGGCCTGCAGACCACGTGCCGCACAGCCGGGCCCTGCTGACAGATACTTAGAGGAGCAATGGACCCCATGCTTCTCCCAGAGTGAAACCAAGAACCAAGGAGCGTGTCTATGGTTATCTCCTTCCGGACTCACTTCAGGAGAGTGTCACGCTCAGGTTTTCCTTTTGAATCTCTTCCCTCTGAGCATTCAGCTCTACAGTGCTTCCCAAGTGTTGTGATAGGTCACCAAAAGGGAGAGAGGCACAGGAGAGAAACATGCTCACTTCTGTGCAACAGCATTCGTGTCCTTTTATTTTCACTTTAGAGAAAACTGAGGCCAACACTCGTTTGGTACATAAGGGGCATGATATTTAGGAAATCAAGGGAGAACTGGAAACTAGACTCCAGATTTCCTGACTTCCACTCAGTGTGTTTCTCTCTCTCTCATGCTCCCTTCTTACAACTGTGTTTCTACACCTCACTGGTAACAATGGCCACCTCCATGTTGTGGGGTTACAGGTGATTTTTAACATTCTTCTTTTGGTTTATGTATTTTTACCTAATTTTTCCACAATGGCTATTAAAAAAAAAAAAATTCCCGTTGAGTAGATTCCGACTCATAGCAACAGTAGACTTGACAATAGGGTTTTCAAGGCTGTAAATCTTTACAGAAGCAGATTGCCACATCTTTCTCCCACAGAGCAGCTGGTGGGTTCAAACCACCGACCTCTTGGTTAGCAGCCAAGTGCTTAACCACTGTGTTACCAAGGTTCCTACAATGGCTACACATTAATAAAATAAAAACACCTAAAATTAAAATTTTAGATTAAGCAAAGCAGGTTCTTTCAGAAAGAAGAACTAAGCTTTTTATTTTTCTACTTGCCTTCACACTCAAATCCCCATCCCATCAATTCTCTCAATAGCAAGAAGTGATCTGAATTATACTGCCATTCTCAAGGGCAGAGAGTTAATTTTTCTGCTGTTACTAGTGTTATGGATTGAATTGTGTCCCCCAAATGTATGTATCAACTTGGCTAGGCCATGATTTCTAGTAGTGTGTGGTTGTTCTCCATTTTGTGATCTGATGTAATTATCCTCCATGTTGTGGTGTGTGGTAAATCCTAACCTCTATAAGTTAATGAGGCAGGATTAGGGTGGGGTGTATCTTGAGTCGCCACTTTATAAGAGGGTGTGACTTGAAACCCTTACTCAAGTCACACTCTTACCCTTACTCAAGTCACACCTTTAATTGAGTCCGCTTTTATCTTACGAGAGATAAAAGGAGAGAGAAGCAAGCAGAGACAAGGAAACTCACCACCACCAGGGAAGAAGAGCCAGGAGCAGAGCGTGTCCTTTGTACCAAAGGCACTGTACTGAGAACCTCCTAGACCCAGGAGACAGACAGCTGTAACACTGGAGACAGCGCAAGACGGCAAGAAGTGGCAGCAAAGAACTGGCAGCAGCAGAACCAGAAGACTGACAGGAGACAGCACAGGGAGTGTGCCGACCCACGGAGCCAGACAGCTGAGTACCTTCAGGCTGAGGCTTACTGATGGAGTGAGGCACCTCTGGGCACTTATCGGTGGAGCTGAAGAACTTTCTAACACTTGCCCGAGCAGGGCAGAGGCCAGGCCGGACTGAGGAGCCAAGGGCCAAGAGAGAAAGAGAGAGACAGAGAAAGGCTGCCTGAGGGCATGGCTGAGAAGCTATATCCTGAGTCATTTCTGTTCCTGAATTGTAACCTGTTATGACAAGACACATGTAGATCTCCAAGGAATGCCGGGTCCACAGATGCTGAAAGGAGACAAGGACCTTCCCCCAGAGCCAACAGAGAGAGAAAGTCTTCCCCTAGAGCTGGCACCCTGAATTCAGACTTCTAGCTACCTACATTGTGAGAGAATAAATTTCTGTTTGTTAAAGCCACCCACTTGTGTTATTTCTGTTATAGCAGCACTAGATAACTAAGACAAGTGGACTTGAGAAAGAGTAGATATTTGGATGAGAGTGAGGGTTCAGAGGCAGTGCTGGGACCTGAGTGTAAACTGTCCTTCTCCCCACTGGGGGCACTGTCAGCATCCAGGTGCTGCCTCTCTGCCCCACAGTATTGCTTATATCATGAGGACAGACGATTATGCAAAAGACTGAAATTAGCAGTTCATGTTCAGTGATGAACTTCCTCTCCCTTCAGCAAACCTACCACTCCCAGAGAAACTCCTATTCCCTGTACCCTCTACAATAACCTCAGAACCTGTGTTTGTGTGCCTGGGGTATGTCTACAATGACCTGAACTTTGTTCTCCACCATCCCCTTTACCTTATACTCAGCTGGATGTCACCCAGTACCTAGGACTCTTTCTTTCTAGATGCATTAGATACTAATCAGGTAATAATTGATAAGCAAAGCTGATAGGCTAATTCATATTAAAAGTAAATGGCTAATATTAGCTCACCGGAATTACTCTTCTCAACCATATCTACATTTTAACCAGGAACTACACCTTAAACCCATATATCAATTAGAGATGGACCCTGAAATCAGAATGAGATGGAATGAGTGAGATGTAATATGGATTTCTCATGGAGATTAGGTCTTATATATTTGTGGGAGTTGGTGAAGAAGTCTAAGGAAGGCCGTTGCCTCTGCTGCTGTGTGGTGGGCCTGAGGTCATTTCAGGCTAATGTGGCAGCAGTCAGGATGAACACTTTACATGAAGTGGGGAGGAGCAAGGACACACTGGACACATGAGGAGAAAGTGGCGATTCTAACCACCTCACACTTAATGACACAGGTGACCTGCAGAAAAAGCTGGCGCCCTTCACACTAAGAGAGGCTGGAGAGCTGCAGGCCTTGCTGCTGTCCACCCCAACAAGGCGAGCCAGCAGATCAGCAAGAGCATGCACAACCTGCAGTGGCGCCTAATGCCCTACACCAACCTTCAGAGTGAACTTAGACTGCTGCTTCCTTTCCACCTTCAGATTCTCACGCAAATTTCTCTTGTGACCAACTCTGACTTAACCATATAGGAAAGGGAATTCTAGGAAACATGGTTCAAGGTTTGTTAGGTTGACACACTACAAAACCACCAACCAAAAAACCAAACCTGTTACCATTGCGTCGATTCTGACTCATAGTGACCCTATAGGACATGGTAGAACTGCCTCATAAGGTTTCCAAGGTTATGAATCTTTACAAAGCAGACTGTCATATCTTTCTCCCGTGGAATGGCTGGTGGGTTTGAACCACCGACCTTTTGGTTTAACAGCTGAGTGCTTTAACCACGGCACCACCAGGGCTCCTCACAAAACCACCACAACTCCTAAAATCAATCTCAAAAGATGGCTTCTCAAATCTGTTTACCGGCCAGTGGAGATTTTCCAGTGAGGATGGGAGGATGCGAGGAGGTAGAGGAGAGGGAAGTTTTCTTGGTGTTCTTCAAATGTTTATGTCACAGAAAAAAACATAAAAGTCAGATAAGTGATAAATATGTATTATATAGGCACATATCCAAATGTTTGTCAATTTGTGTGTCCAGAAAGAAAATGTTTGACCTTACAATTGGACTGAAGTTATGTGTGAGAAGTACTGAAGGATACTCAGGAATTTGTGAGTGTCCCTGGCTTTCTCTGGATACTATGGTAACCACCACTTCCAGTCCATGCACCTCTCCCCTTCTCTGAGCCCTGGGAAAGAAAAGAAGGAGGAAGCCATGGAACAGAGGGACAAGTGTGCCCAGAGGCAGCCTCAGGGGCCATAGAGCAGAATGCCTAAAAGCACACCTTCACCAACTTCCTTCTTCGGCAGAAGCCAGTTAATTCCCAATGTACCAGAATGGAATGGAACAATGAGACCATACCTCACCAAAAGCGTGGGCATGTCTCAAGACCATTTCCTTTCTAGGGGGAAGCAGTGGGCAGGGTGAGATAATAAAAGTAGGTGGAAGGCAGTTCTTCCTAAAGCCCAGACTTTGAAGTGGACCCAGAAGGTATGGCTGTGCCTTAATTTTGCTTGTCTCGCCTTCGTTAGACGGACCTGTAGTTCAATGGGAAACTTTATCGGTCATGTGTTCCCTGGGCTGTTTCTTGTCTTATATGGACTGTATCAGGCAATAGTGGTCTCCAAAGCTGTGATATTCAATGCTTCTCTCCTGTATCCTTCATGCCCTCCCAGGAATAAAGGGAGATGGGCCATGCTGTGGAAAATATCCTACGTAGGATTGTTGAAGATGGTGACTGGCTCATTCTTGATAGTTTACGAGATCAACTGCGTTAAAGGAGGGTTGATACTGATGAACAGGGATATGCCACCGAGGTTTATGTATCCCAAAGAGTGGCAGCACCTCACCATATTCATCCTCCTCACCCTCAATGGCTGTGTAGACATCCTGAGCAAGAACTTGCTGCCTCAGAGGTGTGTGGTCCTGGAGCTAGGTGTCCGGATCCTAACATTCTACGTACTTCTGCTGCTGTTGGTGTCACACACTCAGGGTACAGTAGGGGTGGAGCTGCAGGTTCACTCTCTGCTCATCTTGGTGGTGTTCCTGCTGATGCTGGTGTTGACTGCAGAGCTATGGGCTCCTGGCATGTTTCACCTCTGGCTGATTGAGACCTTTCTGTTTTTGATGATGGGCTCCTGGCTGGTTCAGGCAGGCTTTATTCTGTTCAAACCAGTCTCCAGCTACCCATGGCAGGACGATGACATGAGTGACATCATGTTTGTCACCACCTTCTTCTGCTGGCATGTGGTGATAAATGCCTTATGCCTTTTAGGGATCTATGGCTTCTCTTTCTTTTGGTATCGTTGTTACAGTCCTAGCTTGAAGCTGACGGGGCTCAACGAAGCTCCGTATCACGCCAGCCCTCCAGGACCCGTCTACAAGTTGCTTCAGGAAGTGGAGGAGTCCGAGAAAGATGACCAGGCTCTCCTTCCAACAAGCTCACCCTGAGATAGGACCTAGAATGTCTGGCACAGAATCCATCCCATCTTTCCCTTGTGGGTTCTCCCAGTCACATGCATTGCACTCTCTTTAGTCCCCAGTGAAGACAATGGCCCCAAAGGAGAGCAGCTGGTTCCCATCTGCTGGTGCATCCGCCATCCCTGAGCCTCTAATCACTGAGCAGATGGGGAGAAAGGGACCTGAGAAAGGGTTGCTGATGGGGTTGGGGGTGGGGAGTAGGGCAGGGAAATTGGGAAGTTTGCAAGAAAAGCCATGGTGGGAAGAGAATGCAATAGAAGAAAAGCCTAGGAAGGGAGGGGGGCAGAGTCTAGCAGCCACACCATGCCCAGCTGCTTCTCCATGCACAAGTTGATGGCCTTTTACCTGAGGAAATAAAGATTTCTCATAATTCAAAACTGGGATCATTCAAGTCTGATCCTGATAAAGCAAAGTGGGTACTTGTGTTTGCTCACTTAATGGGTGCCACCATGTAGAAGTAGCATAAACAGAACTTATAATTTACACAGACTTCTAGATTGAAATTTTGCTCTTTTTGCCCTCCCCCACCAAATGATATGGATTAACTTCATTTCAAATTTTGCACATAAAGCGAGACTTTATTAATACTTTGATATCATAACCTTTCAAATCTGCATAATTCAGATTTTCATAGAACCCAAATACTCAGTACTTCTGCAATCTTCTATCCTATTACTCTCCTACTGTAGCCAAAGTTTACCTAGTTCACCTTCCCTACCCTTGCACACATAATTTACTAGATCCTACCCTTGGGGCTTCGTAAAGTTCACTCCCTTGCATCTCACAGAAAGCCAAATAGCAATCATATTTTTACAATATTATTTGGGACCCAGCATAAACTCATCCCTACTCCCACCCCACTGACCACCCCCAGGAAGTCCTTCCCAAAGAACTCTTACCCACTCCTTTGTTCTGGAATTTTTGGCACTCATACTAAATCTGCCTTGTTATTTTGTCCGTACAGCTGATCCACTTTGCTTTGTTATATTCCTCAAATCATTTCTCTTGGGGAGATTTTTTTCATCAACTAAAATGTAGGCTCTTTAAGGGTTGGGACTTGGCCATATCCAATTATATATTTTCCTGTGTATGTTCCAACTATGCAACATGTTGTCAGCTGCCATCTAGTCAGTCCCTGGCTCATGGTAACCCCATACACAATGGAATGCTTTTCGGTCCTGTGCCATCCTCATGATCAGTTGTGGATCAAACCATTGTGATCCCCAATAGTTTTCATTGGCTGATTTTTGGAAACATATTGCCAGGCCTTTCTTCCTAGTCTGTCTTAGTCTGGAAGCTCTGCTGAAACCTGTTCAGCATCATAGCAACACACAAGCCTCCACTGACAGAGGGGTGGTGGCTGTGCATGAGGTGCACCGGCCAATAACTGAACCCAGGTCTCCTGCATGGAACACAAGAATTTTACCACTGCTTAATAAAAGCTTATTTGCTTCCAGAATCCTCACCACCACCATGCAGTTCTTTCTAAATGTGAAGTTACATAGTCCCTCCTGGACAGCTTCTTCGAACCCTCTGGGAGACACCCTCAGTCCTAAAACCTGAGTCATCTTCTTAGTAATAGGCTCATTCTCTTCCTCATTCTTGGGCATAATAAAATCCACTAACCTGTTTCTGCCTTGTTTACTGTTTTTGGTTTTCAATCCTCACAAGCGTTCTGTACAGAACCTCCAGAAAACTGAGACTTCAGCAGGGGGACGAGCCCAAAGTCGCACAGGTGTGTCTGCCTCAAGCCACGGCTGTGTCCTCTGGCCCACAGTAACTCTGCTAACAGGAATGGGGAAGGGAATGGGCCTGAAAATGAAATTGTTAGACAACGAAAAAAGGTCAGCTGGAAGGCCTAGCTGGAGCACGCAGCACAGTGTGAAGTGTGAACACATTTTTTTTTTTTTTTTTTTTTTGTGCCCTTGAGTGTCGACTCATAACGACCCTATAGGGCAGAGTAGAACTGCCCCATAGGGTTTTCTAGACTGAAATTTTTACAGGACCAGATCGCCAGGTCTTTTTTCCTGCGGAGTAGCTGATGGGTTCCAACCACTGACCTTTAGGTTAGCAGCCAAGTGCTTAACCACAGTGCCACCAGGGTTCCTTGTGAACACTCTAGGCTCCTAAAAGGTATATTTATGGCACACCTGCTGTTTCTCCCCACCCCTGCCCTTCCCGCCATCACTGGGACTGAGTCTGGCAGGCTCTCAACGTCTGGCTGGGTCTTAAATTTCTGGGCTCAGATCCGAGTGAGGGCTGGGGATAAGACTTTCTTGTGACTAAGTTGTCTAATCCTTCCCATTTCTCCTTTTCTCTTAGTTTCTTAGATTCTTTTCAATGACCTTTGGAAGGAGGTCCTCCTTTTCTCTTCACCTCTCTTGTACACGTTTATGGCAGATGATAAGAAAGCACACCGTTAGCCACCCACTTCCAGTCATTTGGGGCTGAGTTTTATAATGATAAACAAACTTCTTGTAATCAATTGATACCCCCAACATAATGCTCTCAAATACCCAGTCTAGGTAATAAACACGCATGCTGTCTGGGGCCTTCAATACCCAGCGTGCATTTTCAACAAATGGACGACAAATATGATGGAATTTTAGTTTTTGGAGAGACACAGTCACGATATTGTGGATGTGGAGGATTTCCCTATACATCCTACCATATTTAAGATGTAAAAGAAAGGACCTTCCCTTGAAGGCCTGTCAAGAAAAAGCATTCCAAACACGCAAGCTTTGGGGGAGGTTGGTAATTCTCACAACATTCCACCAGAGGGCACTACCTTCACATACCCTAGCTAAGCCTCTGGCTCTCCAACCCCAGTAAACAAGCCTTGGAACAACCCATTTAAAAGGAGTAGGGGGAGGGGAAAGAAAAGGAGAGCAGGAAAAATACAGAAACAGACGAAGTGTTGCCCAAGTGTCCAGAAAATATACCCCAGGGCTGTTTGTTTCCTGTTAAAATTTGGCATGTGAATGTGAAATAAACAGGGATTTGAATCAACTAAGGGTGGGGAGGGGTGAAGGGAGGAAGGACTGTGGATCCAGCTGAGGATTTCTTTGGGAAAAGTACCAACTAAAAAACACACTCTGACCATTATGCTAAATTTCCTACACTTTTTATTCAGCTTCAATAACGTTTCAATTAATCTACAGAATAAAAACAGATCTGTATATACATCAAAAACAAAGAGCAAAATTTATCAGTGAAAATCTCAGAGTCACAAAACAATGAAACTAGGGACAGATTATTAAATACGCAAAACAATCTCCAAAGATTTCTTCAAAGTGAACCTGCCATACAGCACTTTTTTCTCCCTGGTCACCTAGGCTTAGGAATCCCTGGGTGGCGTAAATGGTTAAGTGTTCGGCTACTAACTGAAAGGTTGGCGTTTCAAATCCAGAGGTGCCATGGAGGAAAGGTCTGGTGATCTACTTCTGAAAAATCGGTCATTGAAAACACTATGGAGCACAGCTCTACCCTAAACCACACGAGGTCGCTATGAGTCAGAGCCGACTCAACAGCAACTGGTTTGGTTTGGGTTTTTTAATCTAGGGTTAGTCACAAGGAAAACATAAATTGAATGGTCACTGTATGTGAGGCACTGGGTAAGCCCAATGTAGGATTCAGGAGTCCCTGCACTTTGTACTTTCCTCAGTGAGTACAGAGGGATTTCAGTAGTTTAGAGGTGGTAGCCCAGGAACACAGCACCTACAGTCTGAGGAGACTGAAGGAAGGGGAACAGGAAAGAGCGCTTAAGGATTACACCTCAGAAGCACATTAAGCTCTGAAACACTGCCCTGGTGTGATTTAAGTAAGTTACTACAAGTTCTCTAGCTAGGCCTTGGTCTTCAAGATAGGATGGTGTGAAGATCTAATTCTAGTACTGCATGGCTTTCATCTTCTCAGTAGGACTTATTTCCCCATGTTGTCAGCTAAGTGAACTTAACTCTCACCAACTCTCCAAGTGGTTTTCCACTAGAGGCAAGGTTTCGGGTACAGTTCAAACAGAGCCAAACCTTCAGTCGTAACACGTGGTTTGCGAAACGGAGTTTTCCTTGCATTTCAATGATTTCAACAGGCATTCAACAAACCTTACATTGGGCTAGAGAGACATGGTTGAGGACTGAACTGCTCCCTTCTTCTCCTTTCTGTCAAACAATCAGAAAGGATATAAAGAACAACTCCTCTGAGCCCATTGTTAGGTACTGAATTGAGGTATAACCTGGCCTTTTATTCTTTTATTGTGTACAGTGAAATCTAGACACTTGGCCGCCTACAGCTTCTCCATAAAATATGGTCTAAGAGTAATGCCATCAACTTAGAGTTGTCTTTTTCTCTTTTTTTGTTTTTGTTTTATTAAGAGTGTACTGTAATCTATCCTTTTGGAAAGAATTGGTGTTGGTTTATTTAAAAACAACAACAACTACAAAAAAAAACCAGACTGGTTTATAATTCTGAGCTGCGTTTCCAGGATGTTCCTCAACTCTGAGTCTCAGCCATGTCTCTTTAGCCCAATTTAAGGGTTTGGTTGAACACTCATTGAAATCATCCAAATATAGGGAAAACTCCCTATCTCCAAACTGCATATTATGGCCAAAGGTTTGGGTCAGCTTGAGCCCCACCCGAATCTTGTTTCTAATGATGAATGAGAGCAAGGCACCCACACAGGCCCGAGGAAGGCACTCACATCACTAGGTTAAAGGCTTCAGACCTTCGAGTGAGAATGTTATTAGTCATCATCAAGTCAATTCCAACTCGTGGGGACTGCTCCATAGAATTGTCAAGGCTATGACCTTTCAGAAGTAGATCACCAGGCTTGTCTTCTCAGGCGCCTCTGGGTGGGTTCCAACTGCCAACCTTTTGGCTAGTAGTCGAATGCTTACCCGTTTGTACCACCCAGGGACTCCTTGAGAGTGAGACTAGGTCCTTTAAAGGAGAGAGAAAGAAGCTGAGAGGACAACTCACAGGTATAGCCCACCCAAGAGAAGGCCTTTATTTTAGGCAGCAGAACAACCCTGAAGAAATGTTTTTCGTCTCCAAACATTTCTGCAGATTTGGAGCAAAAGCTTTACCTGCAATGCTGCTCTCCTACTCCACCCACCCTGTGGACATAGCTACTCTTCTCTAAGACAGAAAAACATGACTTCAAAGCACATGCAGTAGAACTCCTCCTGCTTTGAAACTGTACATACCAAGAGATAGAAAAGTTCATAGGTTCAAGCATTCTAAGGCTCTTTTTATGGGGGGGGGGGAATGGGGGTAGGTGGCAATTTAGGGAAGAAAAGGAGGGAGAACAAAGGGCAGCAGACACAGCAAAGTCAAACTGGATGAAACAGGCTGTTCCACTTTTAACTTCTCTAAATGTATAGTCTGGGTTTCTGAAGGCAAACCGGTCAGTTAAAGGACTTTCTTCTGCTTTTTCTTCCCTCATACATTCTTAAGCTTCCCTGGTCAGTCCTTGGACTCACTGGGGCTCTAATTCGATGGGTTTAAGAAAGTGTGGGGACGACCAAGGAGGACGAGTCCTCTAGTTCACTCCTGAAATAGTAGGTGGTCAGGTATTATGTTCCGATCCCTCACAAAGCATGCCCCTGGTCACATGAATGGATCAAAGCAAATCCATTTCCATTCTTGGAAAAGCAGCTCAAAGCACTCATTCTCTTGATGATGCCGCTGTCATTTCTGTGGGGTCAACAAACATCAGTTACTGAACACTCACGCTGGACACTGTTGAGGGAGAAAAAGATGAATAAGCTGCTCAAGGAGGTGAAGATACCTAGCAAGGAAAGTAGGCGCTTGCACCATAAGACGCGACACCGTAAGCTGAAAAAACTGCATTCGCTTCTTGGTATTCCATTTTCCATTAATGCTTGCCATCCCCACTGCAGGGGCTGGTGGTAACGAGTACAGTGGAAGGCTGTGGTTTATGGTTTGGCAGTTTGGTATCTTTTAGAATAAGAGCATCACCTTCCCTTCCCTCCCCCCAACCATTTAAATTCAAGACTTTACAGAAAGAAATGGAACAAAGATAGCTCACTCTGTTCCCAGGTCTAAGCCTACTTTCATAAAACTAATGACGGTGTATTACACTGCGTCAGAAAGTTGTATTTAATGGGTCTCAATGAATGACTGGTATAGGAAAAGAAACAATCCAATCTCTTCACATTATCTTGGCCAATAATAATTATGAATACTTTCCCTAAACATTTACTATGTTCCAGGTACTATCCTAATCTCTTTTACATATATTATCACAATTAATCCTTACAATAATCAAGTAAAAAACCAGTTGCCATGGAGTCAACTCCAATTCATGGCAATCCCATGTGTGTCAGAGTAGAACTGTGCCCCATAAGGTATTCAGTGGCTGATTTTCCAGAAGTAGATCACCAGGCCTTTCTTCCAAGACACCCTTTGGGTGGCGGAACTTCCAACCTTTGGGTTAGCAGTGGAGCACGTTAACTGTTTGCACCACCCAGGGGCTCCACAATAATAAGATAGCTGTTATCACCCCTATCTTATAGGCAAGGAAACCGAGGTTTAGCGTGGCTAAGTAACTCAGCCAACACAAAGTGAGTAAGAAATAAAGCCCAGATTTGAATCTAGGTTTGGCTGACCTAAAGCCCAAGCCTTTAACCGCCACATTATAAGGCTTCAACATGCAGCACTTAAACTTAACTTGGAATCCCTTACATTTGTGAGGTGCCTTACTGTGTCCAGAATGCCACCAGTATGAAACATTCCAAAAGCCCGTTTGATATGAATGCCGTATTTGCCATCTAAAAGCATTACAATGTGAGGCACACTTTTAAAGTAAAGGGATGTTGACCAAAGAAGCCAAGTTATGTGTGTGTGGTTACAGGCAACATTTCTTTTCCACATTTGTGGTACAAAAAATAACCAAACAGAAAAATTTCAAAGTCTCAAAGGCTGGAGCTCCCAAAAGATGCAATAAAGGCTAGATATTATCAGGTAGACTTTGGGCAATAAAAATAGAATGGTCATGTAATAGGACTGGTAGCGATATTTAAAAAATATGACTATTGCGCATCTGTTGTCAAGCACCCATTTTTCAAGACTGCATTCACATACACATTTTCTCAACCATCACACCAAGGCTCACAGGATCGACTACTTATTCCCATTTTACAGATTAAAAATAAGGTACAAGTTACTTGAAAGACAAAAACGGGGAATTTGTTTAACGAATTCCAAACTCTTGAAGAACCCTGGGCTATCAAGGGGGCAAGACGTCACTTCCCTTTCATCAGTTCTTGGGGAACAGTTTGCATACACAATTTTAAATTTGGTTGGCAGCTCTAAAGGTCCCTTTGAACTCCTTTATTTTGCATATGAGGAAACTTGGGCCCAAAGAGGCTGAGTAACTTGCCTAAGGTCGACACAGACCTTACCAGACAAGTCTCCTGACTTTCCACCACCCGCCGAAATCTTCTCAGTGGAATTATACAAACACAGCAAGATGATTAAAAATGTGAAATAGCAGAGTTCTGTTCACTTCCCCAAATCCACTGAGGAGCTGGGGAGGGGACTCTTCCAGGCCGCCGGAACCCCGGGCCTCCTTTCAGCAGCCCCCTCTCTACGTGCTGCCTTCTCTCCAGGCCCTTGCAACACCCGCCATCGCCAGGCAAGCTCAGGGCTCCCCGGGCTCCCGCGCCCCACACTCCCTCTCAAACTTAACCGCCAGCGGACCTGGAAGGTGGGGGGCTGTTCTCTAACATTAAAGCCAAAATGTTTCCGTGGTTCAGAATTTCCACGGGCACCTTTGGAGTCTGCGGTATGACCTCGTAAAAGATGAAACTCTCCTTGCAAAACTATTCAACCTTAAGGCAGCAGCGGCGGCCGCCTGGAGCGGTTTTCTACGAGCCTCGGGACTCGGGGGTGAGGGGCTGCAGGGACGGCCCCCGAGGTCGGTGGTCTGGGCTGGGCGCCACCCCGCTGCACGGCGGCCCGCGGTTGTTTTGCTCGAGGCTGCTGCAGGCGGGGTCCTTCCTCGGCTGGAACTCGCGCCCTCCGCTCGCAGCCAACCACCCCTTCTTTTCCTCCCCTCCTCCCTAACCCCTCCACTCTCCACCCTCGCCCCCTCCCCCCCTGTTCCTTTCTCTTTCTTTCTTTCCCCTGCTCGCGCTCCCCCGCCCGGCGGCGCCCGTACGGCTCCTCGCCCAATGGCCACAGTGCCCGGGCGCACATCAGCTGATCAGTTCCTGCTCGCTGCCGCTGGAAACCAATCAGGGCGCCGGGGGCGGCCCCCGGCCGCCAATAAAGGGTGCCCGGCTCTGGGCAGCTCTTTAGAGTCGAGAATGGGCGTAGAGTCGAGCGTTTAATCTGTACACCTGGCCTTCTCTCCTCACCTCGCTCTCGCGGCCTGCCCTACATTCAGTCTGCTCGCTGCCCAGGTAAGCGCCTGGCTGCCCTCGGGGCGCGGACGGCAAGCGCGCCTGTCCCCAGCCTCCTCCCCGCCGCGGCGCCCTGGCCTTTCTTCTTTTCTCTTTGGCCTCTTCCCTGCCTCCAGCTCCCTCCCTTGCTTTCGGTCTCCGGGAGGTGTCGAAGATGTCCGCGTGCTTCAGCCAGCGGCAGTTCTGGGCGGGCCTGGGTTGCCGTTTGTGGGGCGCACCCTTTTCACGGGTTGGAGAAGGGTTGAGGGGCAGTTGTTTTAATCTTCCTTTGGCTGCTGCGGCCCACAGTGACGCCCTGGAGGCTTCTCGGCGGGCAGGGCTGTCGAGCCCCTCCGCCTGGGCCCGGAGCCTGGAGTCGGGGTGTTTGTTTAGGTTGTAGATGGAGCGGGTGTGCTCTCCAGCGGGAGCGCACGCTGGGGCTCTAGGTAGACTCGGGTGCCTCGCTCTCTTCTTCCGCGGTGGCGCGTTTTGGGAGGTCGTGGAGGTATTGATTATCGTGTAGACGCCTACGTTGAAGGGAATAACCGTGAGTGTTGTGTTTGTGCGGCTGGCCCCTGCCCCGGAGTCCCGGGAAAATTCTGGGCCTTTCATTTATGACTGAACAATGGGGAGCCCGAGGCCGCGGCGTGACCCGGCGGGCGCGCCTAGTGGAGAGGCCGGGACGAGGCGGCAGCCGCGCGCCGCCCCTCCCTCCCTCCCTCCTGCCGCCTCCCCGCTTCCCCCAGCCACTGCCCTCGGAGGGGTATGGCCCCCTCGGTGAGACCCTGAGATCCCGACCCGGAGGGGCGGGGCGCCGACGTCCGGGACATCTCAGGGGGAAGGGGCTGTTCTCACAGTGGATTCCAGCTCCCCCGGGGGCAGGAAGCGGGGCCGCTCCCCTAGCCGCAAAGCCACAAAGTACGATGTGGACGACGCAGAGTCGCGGTCCTCGGGGTCCCCCTCCGACTGCATTGGGTTCGTCGCCTATTCGGTGAAGTCGGGAGAGAAATCGCGACTCAGGATTAAGACCTTAACGCACCAGCCTGCGTATTCCAGCATCACCCGGCCCGAGCGCTCTCGGTCTCCGTCTCCGGCTCCTTCGCTCTCTCCCAGGAAGCTCCGGTGTTTGGAACAGCGAGAGCCAGAGATCAAAGAGGAGCGTGAACAGAAATCAAAAAAGAGGAGGACTAAAATAGAAGGCAACCCTGGAAATATTACTAACCTCCGTTGGCTGGGGTGAGTGAGAGGGCAGAGAGAGGACTCCGGAGCCGGTGGCAGCTGCAGAAACAGCTAAAAGCTTCAGAGTCCCACTTTTTTCCCCACGTAAAACTTGGCACCACGAAGGCACCAGTTGCTAAAGTAGACTAGGCTGCTGGTCTCCTCTTCAGATCACCAGAGAGGTTAGGAGACGCTTCACGGAGCCTTAAGAGAAAATGTGGCTTGATGTTGGAGGTGTAACAAACAGGTTGGGGAGGAAAGCTGTGAGTGGGTTGTAGCTTTTTGTGAGAACGGAAGGGATCAGGGTTGTTCCTGCTGGTCTTTCAGGCAGGGATGGGGGGTGGGGGGAGGTGATGCGATTTGACGGATCAAGTCTTCTAGATGCAGTAGGCAAAGATTGTTGGTTATCCTCAAGTAAGATATAACAAACGAGGTTCTCTTCCCCAAGAGGAAGAATGAAGTTGTTGGAAGAAGCAGTTATATTGTAAGCTGGGCAAACATGAACTGTTGCCCATAGAAACTTTGCCACTGTACTTCAGAAAGTTGCCCAAGTCATTGGAAGAGAAACAATGTGTTCCCTTTCCAGCCACCCTGGCCTTTGAGGGGGAGGGAGGAGAAAACGTTTCCTCTTGTTGAGGCCGGTTTTGTGGTCTCAGAGTTTCTCTTCTTTCAGAAGTTTTGTGGTGATAGCTAGCATGCCTTGGAGCTTTTGAAATCCCAGAGGTTTTTGGTTTAGAAATGGGAATTCCCAATTATTTGAAAAGTTGTTTAGTGGGATCTTAAGAGTATTATCATTCTCAAACTTAAGTAAGAGCACGGGTTCTGAAGTGACTGAAAAGTTTGCATCAGACCAGTGGAAACTATGGCAGTGTTCACCTTGAAATTCGAATTGGGTTGGTAGCTGCTTTTATGTCTTGGTGATGGTAATAACTAGAGTCCTTTTATTTCATTTTTGTGGGAAGCCTCCAGCCTTCTAAAGTTTGGGTCTACCCCCGCACCCTCAAAGGGAGGGAGAATCTCCAAAGAGCGGCCTTTATTAAGACCACAACCTGGGTGCAAGGCAAAGGGAAGACAGCCAGATACCATAGCACCCAAGCTTTTCCGTGTCTGGATTTTACTTTTATTGGGAGAAAATAAGAGTTTTCTTAGACATATTATTTCTGAACCTTAGTAGTTTGTTTTTGCCCCTAGTTTCTTGATATAAAATGCTTTCTAAACACTACCTCAGGTACACTAAGGGATAGGGGTTAGTCCTCACAAGTCTAAATTCTAGCTTGGAGGGAAGCCTTGGATTTAAAGAAGCTGCAAAACTTTGACCTCCGAGCCCAAGGATGCAGAGAAGAGGGGTCAAGTGTTACTGCTAATGGCTTGGTCTTTTCTCCAGCAAGTATCTGCTTTAGTCTCTTCCAAAGGTGGTAGTTAGATTTTACGGTCTTCTCTTATAAAGAGAGTTTTGTCTAATGTAAGACTTTAATCCTCTTGAAAGCCGAATGGATAAATACACCTATGAGTATGTGACTTAAAAGGGAGGGGCCTCCACTCCCCCTCTAACTTCTCGAGGGTAGTGTTTACCTTTCATTTAATTGTGTCTCTTCAACCATTACCTCAGGGAGTCAGTTTGCAGTTGTTTTGTGTTCTTAACATTACTGTTTTTTTTTCTTCTCTCCAGAACATCTTCCACCATGGCCACCTCAGCAAGTTCCCACTTGAACAAAGGCATCAAGCAGGTGTACATGGCTCTGCCTCAGGGTGAGAAAGTCCAAGCCATGTATATCTGGATTGATGGCACTGGAGAAGGACTACGTTGCAAGACCCGTACCCTGGACAGTGAGCCCAAGTGTGTAGAAGGTAAAACCTTGGGCAGGGTAGGGTGCATTCTGTGTGGGAGCAGCGTGGAGGTGGGGTAGCAGCCTTAAACCAAGACAGTAAAGCTTTTCCAAGGCAGTCTTTTCTGATTTCATTCAGTCAACATTTATTAGGCTCTTCACTGCCTCGAAGCATAACAACACTGGAACCCTTTGTTTAAATGGAATCTTGCATGTAAACCAGTATATTGAAGAAAAAAAGGAAGAGTTCTGGTTTGTGGAGTAGGGGACTGGTGACTTTGTTAACTTGGCCATCAAAGTGTTCAACTGCTAGCCAAAAGGTTTGCAATTTGAACCCATCCAGAGATGCCTTGGAAGACAGGCCTGGCAGTCTGCTTCCAAAACGTCCCAGCCTTGAAAACCCTATGGAGCAGTTCAGTTCTGCACACACAGGGTTGCTGTGAGTCAGAATCGACTTGACAGCAACTCACGCAACAAGAAAGGCACCCGCAGGATCCCAGTTTGAACACCACTGCTTTAATTGGAATATGCCATGTAGTTAACAGACTCATCACTGGGGTTTCAGATACAAGCAAATACCCTAAAGTGGTTTCTCAATAAGATTATTCTTTTGTTTTTAGTTGGTGCCATTTTTGGGAAATTCTTAAAACACATTTGCTTGTCTCACTCAACCAGTTGCTGCTGATTTTGACTCGTGACCCCATGTGTGTCAGAGTAGAACTGTGCTTTGTAGGGCGTTTAATAGCTGAGTTTTTGGTAGTAGATCACCAAGCCTTTCTTCTGAAGTGGCTCTGGGTGGACTTGAACCTCCAGCTTTTTGTCTAGCAGCTGAACATGTTAACAGTTCGTGGCCTTCAGTTTTTAGTCTGGAACAAGCCATATCCTTCCTCTCTTCCTAGAAACCAGAAACCAAACCTGTTGCCATCGAGTCAATTCTGACTGTAGCTACCCTGAAGGACAGAGTAGAAGTGCCCCATACGGTTTCCAAGGAGCACCTGGTGGATTTGAACTGCCAGCCTTTTGGTTAGCAGCAGTAGCTCTTAACCACTGCACCACCAGAGTTCCCCCTTCTAGAAAAGGACCAGAAAAGAAAAGAAAAACCATCATCATTTGCCTACTTTAGGATAACTTACATTTCTAATAATGTTCACATTTGAGTGAATGAATTAGTTACATCAGACGCATAACAAAGCATGTATCGGCTATGTGGGCAGGTATTGGAAACGCGTGGGTGGGGAGGTGCAGGGTAACTGGGGAAAGTACATCTGCATAGATTAACTTGCTTGTGGTGGATGGATAATGTTATCTTTTTAAGAGGTTATTTCTCTAGTCCTCTGTTTTTGCATCTATAAAAGAAGGACACAACTTGAACTAGAACAATCCGTAGACTCGGTAGGGAAATGAATTGCAGAAAGAAATAACACAGATGGCCTGGTGAGAGAATTGGCGTATCTTTCCCCTGTCTCAATATTTCAAATGATGGCTGACTCACTGGTGATGTAAGAACACTTGAGTTTGTTTCCTTGGTGCCCAGTAGTCCTAGTTAGAGAAGAAGCATCATTTTAGGGTTTTTTTTTTTTTTTTTAAGGAAGTAATGTAATCATCTTACTTGGAACTTGGATAGGAAGGACTGTAGGACTAAGTGCAGACAGATTTGAGGGTTTATTGTTGATGATGGTGGCATCACTGACCTTTTATGGAAGAGAGATTTAGAGATGAAAAGGTGAGTGAGGGGCTTTATTCTTGCTGGGAAGCCTCCTGTGCAGTTTTAACTTAATTCACCCTCTTCTTCTTACCCCAGAGTTGCCGGAGTGGAATTTTGATGGCTCCAGTACTTTCCAGTCTGAAGGCTCCAACAGTGACATGTATCTCATTCCTGCTGCCATGTTTCGGGACCCTTTTCGCAAGGACCCCAACAAGCTGGTGTTCTGTGAAGTCTTTAAGTACAACCGAAAGCCTGCAGGTGTGTATAGGATGGGTATGGATGGCCCTACCCCAATCCGTGGCTGCTGTGAAGGAGAGGGAGGAGAGGACATCCTGCAATCAGTATTGGGAGAGAATAGGCTGTCTCAGAACTGTTTTAAGAGTTGAGGGATTAGACACCCATCTGTTCACTTTGAGCTTCTTTTTACAAAGAGGTAATGTGGCCCATGTTTCCCTGATCTCTATTAACTGCATAAAATGGCATGAATTCTAAATATGTTTTCTGGTGGAATCCGCAGTGACACAGGCCTCCTGCCTACTTGTAGTATAAAGCTTGCATTTTAAGAACATGGGTTCTGGAGTAAGTATTCTTGGGTTTTGGCCCTGGTTCTACCACTCACTGACTGTGAACTAGGGCAAAGTATTTAACCCCTGTACCTCCATTTCCTTGATTTTCAAAAGGGGAAAATAATAGAGTAAATGAGTAAATCTGTGCAATTGACTTATGATAAATAGTTGTATATCGGATGGTGGTTGCTATTTCACTCCTGACCGCTTGTTTGTTTTGTTTCTCTTGGCTGTCCACTGACTATAATAAGAAAATCTTGATTCACCAATAACATAGGTTTACCTTGAGGTTTACTGTAGCTGAGCCTTTGGGTTCCTGTTGGTGCCATATAGCCTGTCTGGCATGCCCGCTCCTCCTGATTCTCTGCCAGTCCTCTTTTTAAACCCAGCTAAGCCTGACTTCTATGACATCTCTTGCTACTGTCCGCCAGTGAGACTTTGGCAGGTCACTTAGTGTGACTCTGGACCTTCATTTCCTTTGTTTTGGGAGGCAGTATCATGTTGTAAAGGGTAAAGCTCTGAAGCCAAGACAGCTTGGGGTTTCCTGGCCCTGCTGCTCACCCTGTACCTGGACAAGTTACCTAGTGTCTCTGCACTTCAGTTTTCTCATCTATAAAAATGGAGGCAGTTTATACCTACCCTGTCGGGTGGTTATGCGCACTCAGTGAGTTGTTTTTTGTTACTGTAAACATCTTGCGTGCCATCCAGTTGATTACGACTCATAGTTGACCGTATTATATGACAGAATAGAACTGCCCCATATGGTTTTGTAGGCTGTAATCTTTAAACGAGCAGATTGCTAGGTCTTTCCTCTCATGGGGCAGCTGGTGGGTTTGAACTACCCACCTTCCAGTTAGCAGCTAAATGTTTAACCATTGCAGCACCAGAGCTTCTGTAAAGGTCTTAAAAATTTTTTAATATGAAACTTCCTGGTACATAGCTAAGCAGTCAACAATAAGTTTTATATTTACTTATTACTTTAAAGTTCCCTTCCAGCTTGGAAATTGCATCCAGTTGGGCTCGTCTCATTTTTTTCTGGTTTTCTTTTACACTTGTCGATACTGTATAACTTAGCGCTTAATCTTCTCACCTGGAATATAAGCCCTCATAATGGACAAATGATTCTCTCAAAAACTTGTTGATTTGGTACTAAAATGCCTGTGAAGGGAGGAAGAAGACTGTCAACTAGCAGCAGTTGTCTTGTGAATAGAGGATTTAAGAGCCTGGCATTGGCATTTGGTACTTGAGAGGTGGCCAGCCTGCAGATAAGGTGAAAATTAGTTCCGTTCTGGGTCCACTCCCATGTGACTTGGTTGTAACTGAGTTTAATAATAACCAAAGTCTTTGCTGGAGTCTCACTATAAAGGTACAGTTACAGCTTCTCTCATTCCCCTACATCCTGAAGTGCAGGACACAGGCTAGTTTATTCTAGTTCAGCTCAGCTTACAGTGAATATCTCAGCTGCTGTTTTCCCATCAGCACCAGGACTCAGAGCATATGGTCCGTACATCCCTAACGGCGTGTTGTCGCTTTTATTCTAGAGACCAATCTAAGGCACACCTGTAAACGGATAATGGATATGGTGAGCAACCATCACCCCTGGTTTGGAATGGAGCAGGAATACACCCTCATGGGGACAGACGGGCACCCCTTTGGTTGGCCTTCCAACGGCTTCCCTGGGCCCCAAGGTAAGTGCCCGCGGGTGAGAGGTGAACCTTCTCCTCCCCAAGTGCTTAATTGGCAAGGAAAAAAAGCCCACTTCTTAGAGGTGGGAGTGACTCTGACTCAAAAGCTATGAGAGTATCCCTAAAACTCGCTGAAATAATCCTGTAAAGAGACACAGCCCTCCCATTACCCAAATCCAGACACTGGTGCTGTGTACAAGAGTTGAGGGGAGGCATCTCTCTGAACATCTGTCTTCGATGCCTCTGCAGGTCCATACTACTGTGGTGTGGGAGCAGACAAAGCCTACGGCAGGGATATTGTGGAGGCTCACTACCGGGCCTGCTTGTATGCTGGCATCAAGATTGGGGGGACGAATGCCGAGGTCATGCCTGCCCAGGTAAATGCTCTCATCCATCACTTTCCCCACCTCTAAACACTTCAGGGTAGGCCAGTGGGACTTTGGCTAACAAGGGGTTCTGATGCACCACTCACTAACCTAGATGAGTGAGTTAGAGTAGAGGTGGGAATAGAGCAGATTTAGGAGCTTCTGAGTCGGGTTTAGCAGTTGGCTTTATTTTAAAGACAAACCATCTCGTTCTTTCTAGTGGGAGTTCCAGATAGGACCCTGTGAAGGAATTGACATGGGAGATCATCTCTGGGTGGCCCGTTTCATCCTGCATCGTGTATGTGAAGACTTTGGAGTGATAGCAACCTTCGATCCTAAGCCCATCCCTGGGAACTGGAATGGTGCAGGCTGCCATACCAACTTTAGCACCAAGGCCATGCGAGAAGAGAATGGTTTGAAGTGAGTGCCTTCTACTGGGGCCATCTTTATTCTCAGATGGCCGAGAGCTTGGGAAGGAAGGGAGTATCAATTTCAGCAAAGCTCCTTTACGAGAATACTTGCCACATTTTTCATGTGTTGGGGATGAGTACTCTGAGCTTCCTAGTTTGTCTAGATGCACCTTAGCTCTTGGCACTTTGCTTTAAAAATTTTCTAATCCTATCATGTTACAATTTGAAAAGTATCAAGTAATATTCTATAAATGGAATTGAGGGTGGTGGTAGGGGAAAGTTGATTCATGAGTTTCAAAATCTTGTAAGAACTAAATTAGTAACAGTTCAGACTTGAGGATAAACGTGCTTATGGAGGGGGAGAAGTCTTGACAAGTTATTGGGGTCTTTTCAGCAAATATTCCCTGTCTACTGCATGCCAGGTAACTGCTCTGAGCACAGGGACATAGGTAATGGGCAGAATCAGCCCTTGTGGAGTATTTGTTCTGTTGCTGCTGCTGTGTGCTATCAAGTTGATTCTGACTCATAGCAACCCCGTTTGACAGAACTGTCCCGTAGGTTTCCTAGGCTGTAATCTTTATGGGAGTAGATTGCCAGGTCTTTCTCTGTGGAGCCTCTGGGTGTGTCCTGACCACCAGCCTTTTCGTTAGCAGCCAAGTGCATAACCATTGTGCCACTGAAGCTCCTTGCATTTGTTCTGCTGGGATCATGTTTTGGAGCCTGGGGAACTGGGAAAACACTGTTGTTCTTTTTTTAATTGTACTTTAGGTGAAGATTTACAGAACAAATAGTTTCTCATTAAACAGTCAGTACACATTGCTTTATGACATTGGTTAACAACCCTACGACATGTCAGCACTTTCCCTTCTCGGCCTTGCAGGATCTTTTTTTTTTTTTTTGTGAAAATATACATAGCCAGAGATATACACCATTTCAAAAATTTCTCCGTGCACAATTCAGTGACATCGATTACGTTCTTCCAGTTGTGCTGCTATTCTCATTTTAGGTGAAGGTTGACAGAACAAAATAGTTTCTCATTAAACAGTTAGTATACATGTTGCCCTATGACAGTGGTTAACAACTCCACTACATGTCAACACTGTCCTTACTCAACCTTGGGTTCCCTATCACCAGCTTTCCTGTCTCCTTCTGCCTTCTAGTGCTTGTCCCAGGACTGCTGTGCCTCATTAGTCCCATTTTGTTTTATGGGGCTGTCCAATCCCCGGCTGAACGGTGAACCTCGGAAGTGACTTCACCACTGAGCTAAAAGGGTGTCTAGGGGCCGTACTCTCGGGGTGGAAAATACTGTTTTTGATAGATGGGTCATCCTGGTCACCCAAGTTCTTTGACCCATATGTGTTCTCTGCCCTTGAAGGGTAGGTTTCCTGGTGACAAGGTCAGACCCATCTTTCCTGTTGCTCTAGGTACATTGAGGAGTCCATTGAGAAACTAAGCAAGCGGCACCAGTACCACATCCGCGCCTACGATCCCAAAGGGGGCCTAGACAACGCCCGGCGCCTAACTGGATTCCACGAAACCTCCAACATCAACGACTTTTCTGCCGGCGTGGCTAACCGTGGCGCCAGCATCCGCATTCCCCGGACTGTCGGCCAGGAGAAGAAGGGTTACTTTGAAGACCGCCGCCCCTCTGCCAACTGTGACCCCTACTCGGTGACAGAAGCCCTTATCCGCACGTGTCTCCTCAATGAGAGCGGTGATGAGCCCTTCCAGTATAAAAACTAAGTGGACTAGACCTCCAGCCATCACGCCCCTCCCAGTTCTTCATCCCACTCCCACTTGTTCCTACTAGCTGTAACTCAAAGGGCAGAATATCAAGGTCTTTTTTATTCCTTGTGCCCAGTTAGTAACTCTTGCTTTTCTGGGGGCCAGGGTAGAGGGGTCAAGTTCTCAATCTCTTCATACCCAACCCCCTTTTTTCCGTATCACTGAAGCTCTTTCAAAGACTGAGGAATAGTGCGTTAGTGGGGAGGGGGGTGGGGAGACATAACCACTGCTTCCATTTAATCAGGCGTGTTTGTTTGTCCAGTAGGTATAGCTATCCAGACAGAGAGCATATGTGTTTGTGAAGGGAGGAGGGGAGGACTTTTTCTTTGAGGTGGCAGAAGGGGGAGGGCCTGACTTACTCTGTGGTTAGGTTAGGGTTTTCCTTCTTTTGCTGGGAAATTACATTTCTTAAAAAGAGTCGGAATTAAGAAAGAAGGAGGGGAGGGACCAGGAAGGAAAATGCCCCTGGTCCTTGCCTTGGGCTAAACGCCCTTGCCTGAAGACTAAACTCAGAGTAAACTGATGGGTGTATCCCTGCCTTAAGAAAAGAAAAAGTTCTTACTGTTTGGTTCTCCGTTTATAACACAAAACAGAGTAGTATTTTTATATTTAAATGTAAAAACAAAAAAATTATATATATGGGTGTGCAGATAAACGTTGTGTTTTTCTAAAAGAGGGAAGGAGTCACCAGGAAGCAGATTTGATACCAGTAGTCTGGTTAGAAGTAAGGGTCTCCTTTTGAGAAGGGATGGGGGCAGGCAATGCTTGGCTGTTCGGGGCTTTTAATTCCCTCACTACCCTTTGAGGGTTTCTCTGTGCCTGCCCTTCTGAAGGGAGTGGAAACTGGTCAGTTAGCAGGTGGAAGCAGGTTACTAGTGGCAGTCACCTGAGCCCTGTGGCTTTGGTTTATAAAGCTTCTAAGACGCACATGTACTGGTATACACACACACAGGGGTTTAGAAATACGAGTTGGCTGGTCAACTTGAGCATGTTACCGACAAGGGGGTCTTGGGATTATTTTCCGGTGGGAGTAGCATGTCACTAAAGCAGGCCTTTTGATATATTAAAAAATTTTTAAAAGCAAAACGGAAGTTTAGATTTTAATCATTTGTAGTTTCTAAGTCTTTGTGTTTTACAGAATGGCTCGTTTGCTTCACTGTTGTCATCTCTGATCTTCGAGGAGATGGGGACAGGATGGAAATCAAACACTTGTAATTTTGTATTCTTGTGTCTTCTGAGTGTGAAATACTCTTTTCTTTTGTTAAAATTTCCCAAGTTATTGTTTTCTTTTATAATAAAAAAACACACCCTAACTTAATCCCTACATTTTCCCTACTGTTCTCTGGTTATTTTCGTGCTGGCCGCAGCGGACAGTCTGCGGTTTTCTCTTGCCATGACAACTTCTAATCGCCGTGTACAGTATGTTCACAGTTAGATGACTTCTCATTGTAAACAAACGACAACTGCCCAGAGCAGCTCTTAGAAATCAACCTAACTTTTATAAGATTTCTTCTGACTTGATTCTTTGTGGTTATTTAAATTTTGTTTGGCTGTTTCATCCTTACTCTCCCAAAAGAGATTTTTTAAAAGAGGCAAAATAGGCTCAAGTTTATCCGCTCTTTGAAGTTTTAGAAAATCTTTCTTGAGTCATGTTGCCAACCAGTCCTTTCTTGTATTTCTCTTAACTTTGGGTCTTTGGGGTTTCGTTTTTTTTCCCCTCCCCACCTAAAGAGTATTGGATTACACAATCTTGGCGTGTCTTATCCCTGGAATTTTGTAGTAGGGTGTAAACCCTACTGCTCACCCTGTGCTCCAGAGCCTAGTTTTGACCTACCCACCATGCAATAGCATACTGTTCTGAACACCCCTCTGGCTTAATTTTACAGCAGCTTAAAGCATTTTGTGTTATTAATAGTTCTTACTATCCCTGCTCAAGTTCATCCTCCACCCAGCTGCCAGTGATTCATCTAAATAGCAAATATTGACCACGTTGCTACTCTAATTAAACCCTTCAGAGGCTGGCTGTCCTGGGCGTGTCCTACATTTCCAGGCTCATCTTTAGGTATACCTTTTCTTTGCACCAGACCAGTGAGCTGCTTATGATTCCCCTAAAAGTTGACACCTTTGTGTCCTTGCTCTTGGCCCCTGGAAGTTGTACCTTGTCCTGGCCTATTTCTACTTTAGTTCATCTCTCTAGGCTGGGTAGGAGCTTCCTTTGCTCCCATGATGCTGTGCACATGCCTCTACCAAAAAGCAGTTTATCATCCAATACGTAATAACTTAAGGTGCAGACATTGTGGACAATTGTGATTGTTTTTTAAAAAGTTTTTTTAAAGGTATGTACTATCAGTTTGGAGGTGACTGGGACCTGTTACAGCAGTTCTTAGCCATGACAGTTTTCTTAGGGCAAGTGTACATTTTTAGTCTTATCTAATCCCAGCTATCAGTGGTTTTTCTGAGAATTGGCTCACATCATGATTTAATTTCCAAAGTAGGGTCATATATATTGGTTTGCTGGGGACAATCCCAGTTTACACATGTGGTTCCATCATAATTATGAAGACTGCCCTCTTTCAGTATTTTCCTGGGTTTGATGATACATTATGTGATTGCTCTCATTTCAGTTGAAGCTCTATTTCTATCCCCCCAGCTGAAGTTGGCTTCCCTCCACTGAGTCACCCCTACAGGTTCTTGGTGGGATGTGTTATGCACAGTGTAATCTCTAGATTGAAGAGTCAGTGACACTTTTTTGTTCATTCTGACTCCCCTACAAAGATTACATGGAAAGGAGTTCTAAATTAATATGATCAGAGTTTACTTGGAAACAACCAGCATATTTCCATCTCTCTCATCTAGAATGAGCTTTGACCTACAGGTCATGGTGCAATCCCCTTGTATTTCTAAGGTGTTCTTTATAGCTCATTTAACAGACTCTGGGTTAGATGATAACTTTTATCAGTGACAGTTTAAACAGAATGAAGGCCAAACCTCCAGCCTTAAAGAGACAGAAGCACTATCCACAAAAGGGTTTCTCCATTTTAAACAACACAAGTTCCCTAATTTCACCTTGCCAGTTACTGGATAAGAGCTAAATGAGGTATAAACTAATAGAGGAGTGTCATGGAGCTAATGGAAGATTCCAAAGAGTTCCTTAGATGGGCAGTGCCAGGGCCATTTAAAAAGCCAGATTTACGCTGCTGGGTAGAATGGTACACCAGTGCAAAAAACAAGTTCTTGAACGCTCTGTGTTGGGCTCTAAGTATCTCCCCCAAGGCTTTCGTAAATAATTCCAGCGATTGCTTGGCCCTTATACCAATAAGGTGCAAAGTCTAGAAACTTGCTATCTCAGAGAGAGAGAGCAGATGTCCCCTCAGCAGGGCTTTTTGATCACAAATAGGAGTCCTGTTGTGCCTTTCTTGCTCATCACTGTATCTCCAGGCTTGGCATGGTGCTTGAATACTTCTTGACTGAGTAATTTTTAAGTATCAGTTTTATGGGCTTTAAACTTGCGGCTCTACTGAGTGGTGCAAAGCAGTGAGACCTCGGTTGGTTCCCTGTGTTTTAACCCTGACCATGGCCCTAAACCAAAGTCGTTTTACTGAGCTTAAGGTGAATCAAACATGTTGCTTATTTCTAACTACAAGTGTTACAGCCCCGCTAAAAACTTAGTGGGAAGACACTTCTGTGGAAAGGGGGATGACTGCTTGCTTGGTTAATTCTCGCTGGAGTCAGGTTGCCAAAAGCTTCATGCTGCTTTGCATACACATACACACATGCACAATACAGACATGCCATATTTGGGCATATGCATGTATGTACACATTATATACACAACACTGGTAACTTACATAGACCTTTCGCCTTGGAATTGCGACTTGTCCTTACTTACTCAACTCTACCATATGGCGTAGTCAGCGAGTCTGTTGACTTAACTCCAGTAGGCACGCAGTCACTAAATCTAAACTCTGTGTTGAAGGCTTTCTGCATTTGCCTTTCAGTAAAGGTTCAGAATAACTCCTCCCTTGTGAGTCTCTATTACACTACTCTGCTGACATTAAATGGGATAGATATTCAAGATCCTCCAAAAAGTTAATAATCAAGTAAAATGGGGGCCCAAGAGGTACTATTTTGCAAATATACTTTAACAGTGCAAATATATGAATGAGGGGGTCGATTGAATGGAAATGCTTCTTTCTCTTCTCTGTGCCCTCCCCCTCTTGGAGCCAAAAGAGTATCATTTGACATCACCAAACAGTATGGAACTTCTGAGCCTATTGCTATGCATATGAGTCTATTCTCAAATGGTCTTATGAGCTTTTTGGCAGCTTTACTCGAATAATGCTATATAATGAAATAACAGCATAGCACTAGAGGAGAGAAGGGGACAGGATTTTTTTTGGAAGGAAAAAACAAACAAACAAACCTGTTGCCGTCAAGTCGATTCCGACAATTAAGAGTTCGGCTGCTAACCAAAAGGTCAGCAGTTTGAATTCACCAGGCGCTTCTTGAAAACCCCATGCGGCAGTTACACTCTGTACTATAGGGTCACTTTGAGTTGGAATTGACTTGATGGCAATGGGTCTTTGGAAGAAGTGAACACTTACCTAGTCTCCTGGAAGAAATTTGTGTTCCAATTAGGAGCTAAGTTTAGAGAGTACCCTAGGATAATCCACTTCCTTACAGCCTCCTTTATAAGAGAGGACATTAAAATGAATGCACTGGGATTCTCTTCTGCCCAAACAATCTCTCACTAAGCTTATTCCTAGGTCGGTCTAGAAATGCCAACTCATTAACATTTTTATATAAACACATCAATGCCTGGCCCACTTAAGGCACTTAGCCAAGTAGGCCTTCAATAAATGTTTGTTCAATTGTCAGAGAATGGTATCACTGGCAAAAGGAAGTGGATAGAAGCCTGGAGTATGGGCAGCAGTTTACTCGTAAGCATTAATCTTAGGTGTTGGTGGTGTGTATGTAAGACACGCCACTCCCTCTGTTTTTCCCAAATTACCTGGTCCAGAAATATCCTCTTCTTCCTGACCCCAAACACAGGGTCTCTGGGGGTCAGCATCCCAATTTCTATGTCCTAGGAGCAGCTGAGTCTTTCAGTTCCTCCCTTCCCTTGGGAGGGGACAGTTGGGAACATGCTTAGTCTATCTGTGGCATTAAATGAATCACTTCTATAGAACTTTATGCTATCCTTACAGAATCAGCCTATCAGATAAGCTATGGACATCCCCTAAATTCCTCCCAGATTTGAAATTCTGTGCTGTGAACCACCACTCCCAACACTGAAACGAAGCAGTTCTGGGTGGAATTTACTGTTTTGGAGGGTGAGAATGCTCTTCCAACTTACAACTACTTATTTGCCACCAAGGTTCACAGCTGCATTCAGGAAGGTTTGTCGGAGAAGTCTAAAAGAAATGAACAAGCCAAATCTTAACACAGCATTTTCTTGGGGAAAAAAAAAAAAAAGAAAAAGGTATTATCAGCAACATTTTAATATTAATAGTAATACGAATGTTTAACCATAACATTATTTAATCCATCTTATCCAGGTTACCGAACCCCATTGCCATTGAGTCGATTCCAACTCATAATGACCCTATAGGACAAAGTAGAACTGTCCCATATGGTTTCCTAGGCTGTAATTTTTAAGGAAGCAGATCACTAGGTCTTTTCTCCCATGGAGCCACTGGTGGGTTTGAACAACCGACCTTTCAGTTAGCAGCTGAGTGCTTAACCACTGTGCCACCAGGGGCCATTCATCCAGGCTGGAACTATTTCTCTCTATTGGAGCACTCCAGTTTCAGTGATACCCCACCCCATGTGTAGGAGCTCTAAAGCTCATCAGGTGCTGGATAACAATCTTCCTCAGGCAGCTCAGCCCAGTTCTCTCCATTCCTGAGGTTATATATCATTTGAAAGCATTGTGAGTGTATTATCTATTGCTGCATAACAAATTACCCCAAAACATAGCAACTTAAAGCAACAAACTATGATCTCAGACAGTTTCCAAGGGTCATGTATCCAAGAGTGATTTACCTGGTTGGTTCTATCTCAGGATGTCTTAGGAGGTTGCAGTCAAGCAGCCTGCCAGGGCTACAGTCTATGAAGACTTGACCAGGGCTGTGGGGGCCATTCCCAAGCCCACTCACACGACACTTGACTGGAGGCTTTAGTTCCTTGCCATGTGGGTCTCTCTATAGGGCTGCCCACTACATGGCTTTCTCCAGAGTGAGTGACCCAAGAGACAGAATGAGAAAGAGGCAGAAAGGGATAAAAAGAAAGAGAGGGAGAGTGAGCCCAGGAGGGAAGC